AGCTGCTCTTCCACCACTGGCATCGGGAAGTGCTTTTTGACAGTGACCGCATTGAGCGCCCGGTAGTCGACGCACATTCTGTCTTCACCGTTTGCCTTTTGTACCAAAATAACCGGTGCTCCATGTACCGATGAACTGTATCGAACAATGCCGTGATTCATCAGATTCTCTATAATCGTAGATAATGTGGTACGCTGAGATAGGGGTACTTGATAACGTTTCCCCACTACCGGTTGATCCGTTGAAATAACGATGTCCATCTCCGTTGTCTTGCATTTGCCTAACTTTGCCAAATCCTCAGCAAAGCAATCGTCGTACTCGTTAAGCAAATCGCCTACTTTTGCGACTACATCAGTCGGCAAATCGTTGTTGACTTTAAACGTATTATCGGTCTTCTTATGGAGCTGCATCACCCCCGCTTCGATTGTTAACCTGTAATCGTTTTGGCACAGTACATCTGTACCAATAAGAATGTCAAATGTCATGAACTTATCTGGAACGATCTGACAGGTGGTCAAGATCGTGACTCCATCGACGACAATGTCTACGTTGATAGCCTCTACGCTGCTTATTACCGCACCACCAAATCCTATGACCCGCTTAGTTGACGCTATTCGTTGCACCTCCGCTGGAACCTTGGATGCCGCAATTAGTGACACATCACTACCCGTGTCGATCAAGGCGTCATAACGTTTGCCTTTCCACTCGACCACTTTTGTGACAGGCTTTAGTACACCACTAGCTTCACTTTGCACTTCGGCTACTGTTAGTTTATCGACCTTGCATAATTTGGCCTCGTGACCAACCTTGTTGCATTTGCTACATCTCGGCTTCCGCTGTGGCTGTGTACATTTCGATGCGATATGTCCCAGTTCGTTGCAGTTGTAGCATTTGATCGGCTTCTTCTCTGACGCGGATTTTTGCACTTGCTCGTTGCTGTTCTTCTCATAAGACGCACTAGATCTTGTCGAGCTTGACGTGGGCATGATAGCCATAGCTTCTAGTGACCGGAGTAGGCCATTGCAAGTTGGGAGATTCATCGCAAGTAACGTGCGCGACAAATATACATCGTTTAGCCCCGAAATTACATACGAATTTATGGATTCCTCATCCATCTTGCCTCGTCTACCCATGCTCAGCATTGCATAGTAGTACTCCTCTAACGTTTCTCGTGGTTGACGCTTACGTTGTGCCATTTCACGGTGCACTTGCGCCGACATGATTTTCTTCGGAAAATCTTTCAAAAATAAAGGCCCGTCCACATAGAACTTTGGCGTTGCGTTGGCATTGGCGTCGCTTCAACAACTGACAATGAATACATGAATTCAAATGCAGCCGTCCACATAGCCAAAATTCGACAACGCTCACGCCAACACAAAGCAAAAAGATGGCCAACTCTCAACTTTTCGCGTGCGTCGCTCGTCAGCTGTTGCGAATAAATAAAATTATGTGAAATATTTTTCCTTTTTAATCAAGTGCGGGCAAGAAATATCGTTTTTAATGCAATTATTGATATGAAATATTAATTTATCTGTCGTTAATATGTTAATTTAGTGGCCCAAGGATTCGCTGCCAAGCGTTCATTGTAGCCAGCATACTTTTAACGTGCGTTCTGTCAAACCAACGCCAACGCCAAAGCCAACGCGAAAGTTCTATGTGGACCGGCCTTTATTGTACAAACTCTGGCCATGAATGAAACACTTGCTGTGAATCTAACCAGGTTTTCGCTACACCTTTCAGGTTCAATTGCGCTGCTACTAAAATCTCCTTTTCAGACCAGCCGTATATGCCTTGCAGNTCTGACAGGTGGTCAAGATCGTGACTCCATCGACGACAATGTCTACGTTGATAGCCTCTACGCTGCTTATTACCGCACCACCAAATCCTATGACCCGCTTAGTTGACGCTATTCGTTGCACCTCCGCTGGAACCTTGGATGCCGCAATTAGTGACACATCACTACCCGTGTCGATCAAGGCGTCATAACGTTTGCCTTTCCACTCGACCACTTTTGTGACAGGCTTTAGTACACCACTAGCTTCACTTTGCACTTCGGCTACTGTTAGTTTATCGACCTTGCATAATTTGGCCTCGTGACCAACCTTGTTGCACTTGGTACATCTCGGCTTCCGCTGTGGCTGTGTACATTTCGATGCGATATGTCCCAGTTCGTTGCAGTTGTAGCATTTGATCGGCTTCTTCTCTGACGCGGATTTTTGCACTTGCTCGTTGCTGTTCTTCTCATAAGACGCACTAGATCTTGTCGAGCTTGACGTGGGCATGATAGCCATAGCTTCTAGTGACCGGAGTAGGCCATTGCAAGTTGGGAGATTCATCGCAAGTAACGTGCGCGACAAATATACATCGTTTAGCCCCGAAATTACATACGAATTTATGGATTCCTCATCCATCTTGCCTCGTCTACCCATGCTCAGCATTGCATAGTAGTACTCCTCTAACGTTTCTCGTGGTTGACGCTTACGTTGTGCCATTTCACGGTGCACTTGCGCCGACATGATTTTCTTCGGAAAATCTTTCAAAANCGCTCACGCCAACACAAAGCAAAAAGATGGCCAACTCTCAACTTTTCGCGTGCGTCGCTCGTCAGCTGTTGCGAATAAATAAAATTAGGTGAAATATTTTTCCTTTTTAATCAAGTGCGGGCAAGAAATATCGTTTTTAATGCAATTATTGATATGAAATATTAATTTATCTGTCGTTAATATGTTAATTTAGTGGCCCAAGGATTCGCTGCCAAGCGTTCATTGTAGCCAGCATACTTTTAACGTGCGTTCTGTCAAACCAACGCCAACGCCAAAGCCAACGCGAAAGTTCTATGTGGACCGGCCTTTATTGTACAAACTCTGGCCATGAATGAAACACTTGCTGTGAATCTAACCAGGTTTTCGCTACACCTTTCAGGTTCAATTGCGCTGCTACTAAAATCTCCTTTTCAGACCAGCCGTATATGCCTTGCAGTTGTACTATCTTCTCGACAAATACCTCGGAACTTATGCTGCCTTTCAAAGGGTCGTTCGTAGGTAGTAGTGCGCTTATTTCGTGTACACTAGCTGGGCGTTGTAGTGCTGCCGTTGCTTGACGTGCCGTTGCAGACTCTTCGTTTCCCAATACCGGTGTCGTTATTCGTTGTGGTTCCTCTGTGGTAAGTTTTGCCTGCCTGCGTTACGTGCAGTAGCAAGTTCACCAACCGTTTTCGTCAATTCCATGAGCACTTGACGCAGCTCATTCATTTGTATTTGCGTTGAATCTTCATCGGTGTCTTCCTCCAACTCTTCGGAGTCTACTTCATCGCTTTTGTAAATTTCCCATAATTTGTTCACCTTGGCCGCTTTGTTTCCCGTCATACCAACATCATGGCTCCGTAGCAATTTGTTGAGTTGACCAATTTTCAAAGAGTTTAATTTCACAAGCACCATGGCTGCAACACGTTCGTACACTTGCACTATCAAACTTCAACTCCTTATTTCCTTTAAATCAGTACTTCTATTTTGCGTGTTTCAAAATTGCGTTTTCTAGAAATTATTTTGTCGCTTGGATGCCGTTTTCGCGTTTCTTATTTACTTTACAAAATCTATCCGTTTTTCGCTCGCTCGTTATGTGCATAGATACATACACATGTACATATGCATTGCCCTTTAACTTCGCTAGTTTTTGAAGTGTTGAAAACTCCCACACTGCCTCGTTGTCGTCGCTTTACAGGCTTTTGCGCGTTCACCACTTGAATGCTTGCGATCGCTTTACATGTGTGTATGTACATATGCCGTGAATATTATACGTTCATCCGTTGCATGTACATTGAATACAAGTCGTTTCTCGTTCGACCGCAGCTGCTTCAAATAAGGGTGCTTTTTCCCTGCGTTATTTACTTACGAAATTGTCACTATGCGTTGTTTGCTTGTTTGTAGGCGGAATGAATCCTTCTTCTGAATTGTAAATGATGATTTTTATTTAAATAGNCTATAGTGACGAGCAAAACTGTAACATGGTGTAACACTACTACTACATGGTGTAACTACTAACACAATTGTAAATGATGATTTTTATTTAAATAAGAAGTACATAGAAACGGTGTTTTATTTGTATTAATGATATAATGTAAAAGTAAATGAAATATTGTCTCAGCTCGAATACTGCGATTGCGCGGAAGAATACGTGTGATCGTCTTTGCGGTCGTTCAACAACTAACTCTCGTTCCTGTCTGTGACACAATGTTCAGTACTCTTTTGCTTGTTTCAGTTCCTGCATGCGATTTGGCATACCTTATTTGTATCTCTGTAAAAATTCTGGAGGTATATCCTTAGTTTGCTTTCACAGCTGATGTACTCGATTTTACTGACTTAGATACNTTCACAAGATATCGTACCGTAATATTTTTTGACAGACTTCCTTTGTCCTTGAGAACACTTTAGGCTATATTTTTTCTCAGTCTTAACATTTTCAAGTAGCAAATTCCACAATTTTTTGTCACTTTTCTTGCGGTCCCGCCTTTCCGCAGTAAATCTATTATTTACATTTATGGTTCCTGATTAACTATAATATTTACTGGTGATTACTTCTTCAATAAATTAGAATAGAGAAAAAAGTCATCTGACTTCTAACTAAGTAAGAGATATCTGTCAAATGCGAAACTGAGAGTGAGTGCAAAACTGTAACATCTGCCTTAATTTACATTTTTGTCTGCTGGGTTTTTTATTGTTGTTGTATTGACTTCAAATCGTTATGAGAGAGGGAGTAGGGATGTACCAACAAGAATATACAACAAAAGGATGAAAGTCGTTAGAACTTGGAAATATAGCGATGAAAAAAAAGTGTTATACCATGTTACAGCTTTGCTCGTCACTGTAAATAATACTACACTTTTAGAGCAACTCGTAACAAAGCTACCACCCAGCAAGCAGTATGAGTTGACCAGGCATGCAGTGAATATAAAGCCGTACGCTACAATTAAAGAATTTTCACAATGGTTAAGTGACCTTGCCCGAGTTGTCGGCCTAATGCCACCGTCAACCGCAGTTATGAGAAGCCAGCAGCCAACGCCACATCAACAGCCATCTCGTGTTGTAATGTTAGTCGGCAGTGAGCGTCAACAGGATCACGCAGCCAGTTTTAAGTGTTGTGTGTGCGATGGGGCACCCTCGATTAGTGACTGTCAAACTTTCAATGAGTCAATGAGTGCTCGTGATCGTTGGGAAAAGGTGAAATCCCTGCAGCTTTGTTTCTCGTGTCTGCGTAAAGGACACAACACGTCTAACTGCCGTTCAAAAAAGTTGTGTGACGTTAACGCCTGCCGCCGCTATCATCATCGAAGTTTACATGAAGCCTCGACTTCAACTTCTGCGCCGCCCACAGCTCAAAGTCGAGCTGCAACTCAGCCTGTACTTAATTGCAGAGTAGCCAAACATCGAAATAGCCAGTTTTTTAAATATGTGCCAGTATCGCTATTCGGACCGAATGGTAAAGAAGAAGTTTATGCCATGGTTGATGAAGGATCAGCTATATCACTACTAGAAGATAGCGTAGCAACAAGATTGGGTCTCAAAGGACGTAAGCAACCCCTGACTTTACAATGGTCTGGACAAAGGTGTAGGACTAACTGCCGTTCAAAAAAGGTAAAGAAGAAGTTTATGCCATGGTTGATGAAGGATCAGCTATATCACTACTAGAAGATAGCGTAGCCACAAGATTGGGTCTCAAAGGACGTAAGCAACCCCTGACTTTACAATGGTATGGACAAAGGTGTACGACTGAAGAGTCGTCAAAAGTGAGTGTTGAAATACAGGGCAAAGTACAACAGCGACGTATACGCTACGAAATATTTGCACCATTCGTAACCTCGATTTACCAGAACAGTCCTTCCGTAAAGCAGATTATAGCCATTTGAAGATTTTGCCCTTAGAAGATTATCATCAAGTCAAACCATCGTTGCTGTTCGGTTTAGACAATACGTATTTAAGTGTGCCGTCTACAACAGAACAAGTTGGCAGCGGAAACCCAGTAGCTATTAATACAAAGCTGGGTTGGATAGCCTACGGTTCAACCCGATCGCCAACAACAGCGCCTGTGGTACTACATATTCGAGGAAAGAACAACTTGGAATCGCTACACGAACTGGTTGCAGAATATTTCGCCGCTGATAACTTTGGTGTCAACAATGAGTTAACCAAGCAACTAGAGTCAGAACACAACCAACACGCTCGTCAGAGGCTGAAAGCCAACACACGCCGCATCGGTAAGCCGCGGTTTGCTGTGGAAAAGTGTTCCACCAGCACTTCCGAACAGCTATGCTATGGCTTACAAACGACTGTTGGGTATTGAGAAGAGAATGCGAATTGATGAAGGTTTTTCCGCCAGGTATAGAGAAGAAATTGCTATGTATATACGAAATGGTTACGCTAGACAACTTTCTGAGGACGAAGTAGGTATGCAGTCATGTTTCAATTGGTATTTGCCTCATTTTGCAGTCCAGAGCCCCCACAAACCTGGAAAGATGAGGATCGTGTTTGATGCAGCTATGAAGGTCAATGGAGTATCTCTCAATTGTGTACTAAAGGGTGCAGAACAAGCCAAGCCGTTACTAGATATACTATTCAGGTTTCGCGAAGGAGTAGTAGCTGTGGCTGCCGACATTCGCGAGATGTTTTCCCAGGTGGTAGTAAAACAGCCAAATCAATATGCTCAGCGATTTTTATGGCGTGATGGCGACTCCCATCAGCCAGTCCAGCACTACGTTATGATGTCAATGGTTTTTGGTGCGGTTTGCTCTCCCTGTATTGCAGAGTATGTCAAGAACAAAAACCCCGAGGACTTCCGCTCACAATATCCCGACGCAGCTGCAGCAATTATTTACAGCCATTATGTAGACGATTTCGTAGCCAGATTTCAGAGCAAAGAAGAGGCAGAGCACGTTTGCAAGGAAGCTAAATTCGTCCACGCCGAAGGAGGGTTTCAGCTTCGATCATTCGTATCCAATATCAAAGAACTTGAAAACAGCTTGAATACCGACACCGAAGCCGTATCCCAACACGTAAATTTAGAACGCCAAAGTAGTTGCGAAAAGGTGTTGGGAATGTACTGGAATACCCCGACCGATTCGTTTGAGTTCAGGTTCAAATTCCATCGTATTCCAAAGCCAGTACTAGAATGTGTACGCGTACCTACGAAACGCGAACTTTTGAGCATCATAATGTCACACCCCTATTGCGTGTGTCGACTGGTAGTAGATAAACGACTTATTCGATTATCGCTTTTCCACGGTATTGTGAATGTCGGTTTCTCGTTCAATAACCGACTGAATAGTTTTTATCGCTCATTTTTCTACAACTGTTTGTTTGCAGATGGAAGAGCGACTATAAACTATTCACACGTACTTTTTGAACGAGAAAACGACTTTGGAAATACCACGGACAATCGATTATCGACTAACAGTCGATTATCTACTACTGGTCTACACTCGCAATAGGGGTGTCAGTTTTTGATCCGTTCGGTATTCTCGCCGTTCAAGAGAGAGCAAGTTTAAGCCATACGTTAGTCATCGCATAATAGAAATTTTGTCATCGTCGAATCCTTCTCAATCGCGCTGGGTACCTACAGATAAAAACACGACCAATATCGCTACTCGTCCAAAATGGCCACCTAAAGCCGAGAAATACAGTCCATGGTTAAGAGGTCCGGATTTCCTGCGGGATCCAGTCGAGCACTGGCCACCTACGCTTTGCAGCCCCATGCCAGTTCAGCTTGAGAAGGAAGTGCAGCCGTGTCTTGTCGCACATGCGGAGGTAAAAAATTCATTATTACAGTTTAATCGCTTTTCTTCTTTCTTCAATTTGAGACGGGTAATGGCATTGGTTTATCAAGCCGTACATAGACAATGAAGGTGTTATGAGGTTGCGTGGGCGCATAGACGAGGCCACATGTCTGCCGAAAGATGCTAGAATACCGATTTTGATGCCGGCGAAACACATCGTCTCACAGATTATTATGCGCCAGTACCACGAACAGTATCACCACCAGAACGTTGCAGTAATTTTAAGTGAGGTTCGTCAGAAATACTGGTTTCCACGCGCCAAATCACTATTGAAAGTCGTACAACGAAGTTGTGCCCAATGCCGAATTGACAGAGCCACACCTAAACCACCATTAATGGGTCAGTTGCCGGAAGACCGAATTACACCATACGTCAGGCCCTTCGTGTATACAGGGGTGGATCTATTCGGCCCGTTTAACGTGGGGATAGGGCGCGGGAGAGAGAAGCGATGGGCAGTCATATTCACGTACCTCACCATAAGGGCGGCTCATCTAGATCTTGCGCACGACTTGTCAACAGATGCTTTCCTAATATGCTTACGCAATTTTGTAAATCGCCGTGGAACTCCGGTACGTATCCGAAGCGATAATGGATAATGGTATGGGAGCTGAAAGCGTCAGAACGTATTTTAGATTCGGAACGTATTTTGAATGATGTATCCAAGCGCGGTATAGACTGGAAGTTCAATTGTCCTTCTAATCCAAGTTCTGGAGGCTGTTGGGAGCGACTAATTCGCACAGTGAAACGACTTTTTACCAAAATCATCACTTGAAGAAGTGCCAAGGGAAGATACGCTAGGTAGCGTGCTTATAGAGATTGAAAACATTTTGAATTCGAGACCGCTAACAGAAGTACCACTGTCATCGGAGAAAGACGATCCGATAACCCCGAATCATTTCCTGTGGGGTGCTCAAATTCGACGCAAACGCCGCAACCAGTAGATGGAAAATTATGCCTAAGAAAACAATGGCGCATAGCCCAAAGCCTAAAAGACAGATTTTGGAATGAGTGGATACCGCATTATTTACCGCAGTTGCTTTGCGTCAAAAATGGCAGGAAGAAGTTGAGCCCCTAAAAGTGAATAACTTGTCAATATGCGACACCATGCAGCCACGTAGCCAGTGGCAAAAAGGTTGAGTTACCAGAGTATTCCCAGCCATAGATGGTCAGATTCGTTTCGCTGAAGTTAAAACTGCTGGAGGGGTACTACGTCGCCCAGCTTCGAAGATTGCAGTCCTCCATTTGGCTGGTGAATCCCTGGGTGATTCACGGCGGGGGGGGGGGTAGAGGCACCCTGTGCCTTATGTTTCATTTCTACTTTTACCATTTCTACATTGTGATTGGCTCAGAATTATATTAGTACCGAGTTCTTGCATTTACTAATACATGCATACATAACATACGTAATTTACCAATTCGCTATTATCTGCATGTACATGTTTACCAATGATCAGAGGCAAATTAATCGTCACCGAGAGCAGCAGCCGACAATCACCAGCAAAATACAAATTTGGAAACGTTAGCGTTTTAGCTAGCAATATTTGGAAATCCTCGCATTTATTTTATGTTGTTTTGACTAAAGTTATCAAATAATAAATACGTACAATCAAGTGTATCATTCTACATGTTGTCTTAGTTTTGGTTTTTGTCGTCGTTTATTTGCCTCTACAGCTTTTTCACATGAAATTTCCTTACCGTTCGAGTACAATAAGTCGATCAGTGTTTCGGAATATTCAGTAACCCCTGTATTAAAGTAAACTAACTGTTTCATTGCCTGATGGGCGAATCTCTCGTAATGGTCTCCATATATGCTAGAAAATCAGCATCACTAGAACTAGGTGAGTGATAGACCCCCCCGATTTTCCATTTGGTTTCGAGATTTTTCAGTTGCATAACTACACACCAAACATTTTTATCGATAGGTTTTTTTAGTATTATTTTAAAATCTAGTGCGTTACACAATATTATGATTACCCCTCCTGTATGTCTACTGTACGAGTCACATCTTACAACCTGATATGTTGGAAACTATTTCATAGTCGTATATTTCCTCTGTTGTACAAGTTTCGGATCATAGACCTATACCCGGATCAACAATTTCAATTAGCCTTTCAAGTTCTATTTTATTAGCTATTATACTACTTATGTTAAGATAAACGCATTTCAAGTAACTGTTATGCTTTTCATGTACTGGGAGAACCGTCAACTCCATGCCAGGGTTCCTATTAACTGATTGTAATTGTTAATAGCTGGCTCTATTTCTCTTATGCTCTAGTTTCTTCATGTATACAGGACACTGTCGGTTAGTTGTCAAGTGGTTCTTGTCGAGCCCTAGATTGAATTTTTTGTTTGCATGAATGCAATTGATACACTTCTTTATTTGCTCCTTTGTGCACTTCATTGTTTTATGATTACCCAAGCACTTCAGGCAGACCTCTTCATCCTTGCACTTCGTAGCTATATGATTGAAGCCCTTACATTTGTAGCAGACTGACACACCCATACCATCTTAGACTCTACATTTCTCCCACTCAATATTTATTTTTTCACTTTTGAGCATTGCCGAGAACGTATCAACGTCCGTTTCAATGAGCACATTATAGTATCTAGACTTTTCTTTCTTGACTTCAATGTATTTAATAATTCCAAAGTCAGCACTTTTTAAACATTCATTTTGTTTTTTAATCATTTCTGCAAGTTGCTCACTTTCATATTTAAAGCTTACTCCAAACGCCATAAACTTGGGTTTAGCCGTATTCGGCACTCCAATTTCATAGCGGTCACTCATTTTATTTGCAATTGCGGTCTTTATTTTATCGCGCTAGGACTCGTTTTCACTTTGAATAACGATTGTACCACTTTTCCTACCGTGGACATTGCTAATTTTTAGATCTGACGGATCAACGTTCTTATTCAGGTCTTCTTTTGTTTTCATCGCGTCTTGCTTCTCTTTTGGTTTTATGATCAACGGTTGCTCTTTATTCAGCCCTATTCTGCATTTCGATTACGATCCCGCATTCCGCTCCGCAAGAATCGAACTTAGATATTCTGCGTTCCGATCGAATCGAAAGATGAAGAAGAAGAGAGAAAACATCTTTCGAAATCAGCTGTTTGCCTAGGAATGTGTGAAATCGAAGCAAAACAAAGAAATATTGGCCACCAAACTATAGCAGCTTATGAAGTTGGAGTTTGTAAATATTTTAAATTAACAAAATATATCTAGCATCACTGTAATTTAAAAATAAAAATTCGTTTCCTCTTATTTTAAGTGGAAACATAATTATAAGAATGAAATCCATAGCCGCGGCGTTATTGTTTGAAGAGGAGAACGAGTCCTAGATTGCTGATGCGGAAGTTGAAAGGCGGAGATTTAGGGACATGTTTGATCCTTCTCAGATGAGTGAAGAGTAATAAGAGATTCATCTTGAACTGTATTACTCATCGCTCAAATCCAGTGAAATTATAAACGTTGTTTAAGCACTCCAGAACATTTGCATTTACTACAGAGTGAAAGATTTGAACGCAAATGAATTCCATTTTGAGAGCCGTCAGGAGGAGGGGAAGAACAAAGCTTAACCTTCCATAGAAAATCGAATTCGAGACAACATGCACACCTCTTTTTAAAAAGTTAGTAAAAACGAGTGCAATAATAAAAACATCTTTTTTATGTAACTTCATATATTATGTATGTATGTATGTATGTACATATGTACATCTATAAATTTTATACAAAAAGAATAAATTGTATTCAGTGCATTTCACAGTCTTATTTATAGATAATGAAAACAAAAACGCCTGGACTTCCTCTTTGAAAACCTCCATTTTGGTTGCTATTATTTGAGCCAATTTTTCGTATTGCCCGTATTAATAATAATAATAGTTTGGCGCTTACACATATGTTAGTGTTTGGCCGAGCTTCTCCTCCGATTTGTGGCGTGCGCCTTGATGTTGTCACACAAAGCGGAGGGACCTACTGTTTTACGCCGACTCCGAACGGCGATTGTATTTTTATGAGAAGCTGTTTTTCATGGCAGAAATACACTCGGAGGTTTGCCATTGCCTGCCGAGGGACGACCGCTGTTAAGAAAAAACCTTTTTCTACATTTTTTGCGATGTTGCTTTGACCAGGGCTTGAACCCAGGCGTTGCGGAGTGGAAGCGCGCACTGCTTACCACTACACCACAGCGGCCGACATTGCCCGTATTACCGCTCGCAAAAACACAGAAATCGAGAAAATTCATTTATGATGGCTTTTACAATCATGCACAGTATATTTTACTTAATTTTTTTAATAAAATTTTATTATTTAAACCCACGAAAATAACAATCGAAACGTTCTCCGTCAGCAAATTTGCAACTTAGAAAAACGGAACTACGATCGAAATGTAGAATAGGTATAATCGTACGTTTCGAAGATTGATCGAAAGGAAACGGAACGCAGAATACCAAAGTTGCCAAACGGAGAAAACTTCGATTCGAGTCAAAATGCAGAATAGGGCTGATTTATTTTCGGCTCTTTGTGATTCACTATTCCGCCTTTTAAACGCTCAGCATATGAGGCCTTGCTATGATGGCTTGATTTCAACTCTTCACTTACTGCCTTTTTTTTCTTCACATATTTTTCTACTTTCACACTCATTTCGTACCATAGATCTATGCGAGATCTTGGCTATGCTTTTTCACATCCTACAGCTTTCATCTTATTGGCCTCAGCTATGCTCGTTTCGCATGTTTTTTGAACTCTTTGCATTGCATCTATACGTTCACCGAATTTCCACTCTATTGCTTCTAAAAGGAGCTTTAGCTCTTTAACTTGCATTTTTTTACGACTCTTGAAAGTCGTCTTTACACTCTTTTATGTTTTTACTATTCTTGTCTATAGAGATATTCATGAGTCTACATAACACTTCTGCAAGCAGTTGCCTATTTGGGTGACCACGTCTTTGGCTCAAGAAACAACAAGAAACTGCTTGCAGAGCATTGTGTTGTGCTCCTTTATCGGGAGCATTTTCTCCTCGTCGTGCAGGTGGTGTTCTGGCGACATCAGAAGGCATCCATTCGCTGTCCGTAGTGCGGTGTTTTGCGTCGTCTGCAGCTTCATCCAATGCGTCCTTCTAGCCCCCAGCGACCACACTGGTGCTGCGTAATTTTAAACCGGCCGGCCTATTGCCTTGTATGTTGCCAGCAACGTTTCTTTGTCTTTGCCCCAAGTAGTAACGACTTGAGGACCTTGTTGCGGCTCTGTACTTTGTTGACAATAGCGGTTGCGAGCGCAGAGAAGAAGAGTAGACTGTCGAAGGTTATTACGAGTATTTTGGTGTTATTCACCATCGGAATCGGTGTATCATCGACGTGAATTCCCAGCGGTAGCCTGACCTTCTTCGTCCAGGTGGTGAACAAGGTCGCAGAGGACTTTGTAGGGAAGAGGGTTAGGCTCCTTGCAGTGAAGAAGCGAGAAAGCTCGGAGAGATACCCGTTTACTTTCGAACACAAGTCATCAATTCCATTCCCAGTCGCCATGATCGAGCAATCGTTGGCGTAAGAGACAATCGAGACTCCCTCTGGTGATTGAGGCAGCTTTGAAATGTAAAAGTTAAACAGTAGTGGGGAATGGACACCACCCTGTGGAACCCCCTGTTTTATTTTTCTGAGTTTGCTCGATTTGTCTGTAAACATTACCGACGAGTGTCGACCACTCAGATAATTCGCCGACCACCGTTTGAGCCTCTGTGGGAGAGAGGAGGCCTCTATATCTCCTAGTAGCGTGGAGTGGCTGACGTTGTCGAAACGCCTTTGACAGGTCCAACGCTACTAGAATAGTTCTCTCACAGGGACGGTTGAGGTTANTTGAGCCTCTGTGGGAGAGAGGAGGCCTCTATATCTCCTAGTAGCGTGGAGTGGCTGACGTTGTCGAAACGCCTTTGACAGGTCCAACGCTACTAGAATAGTTCTCTCACAGGGACGGTTGAGGTTAAGGTCACGTGTTATCTGAGTGTTTATGGCGTTAAGTGCTGTTGTTGTACTGTGCACTTTACGGAAACCGTGCTGATGCTTCGCTGGGGTCAGGTGGTTCGTGAAATACGGGAGCAGCAAGGCCTCTAGTGTCTTTGCTACCGGGAAAAGGAGTGTTATCGGCCGATAAGATTCCCCTTTGTTTGCTGGTTGCCCCGGTTTGAGTAGTGGGATCAATCTCCGCACCTTCCAGATGTCTGGGATGATGAGAGTGGCCATTGACATATTGAGGACCTCAGATAGGTGCGCTACTTCCGTAGGACCCAAATTTTTCAGCATAAACATGCATATTCCGTCGGGACCCATGGTGATCTCACGGTTGACCAAAGCTTACACCAGAGGCGATCTTGCAAGTTTTCAGATGCTCTTCCCACTTTTTCCGCTCATGTACGTTCACAAGCTGCCGAATCTCCGCGTTGAGATACCTGAAGTTTGGACGGGGGTCGTATCGTCTCTCTGCTCAGCCAAGTCTGTTCCCCTACGATCGTTTGACAGGCTGGAATGCCAAAGATCGTGGTGCGCATTAAAGTCACCTACTGCCATCGGTTTTCACCTCTGAGGAGCGCACCTATATCAGGGTGATATCC